ACTCAAGAAAACCAGTAACATATTCCAAAAGACTGGTATTAGTGATTTTTTTTCGAATTATCATAAATACAATTTTAATTTGTTATAGATATTGAAAAGAAGTCCAAAAAAAATAAAAAATAAAATATATTATTATAGCAAAATTAGTTTGGTGTTTTAGTTATTATCAATGATTTAATTTTCATGATAAGTAACATATTCATAACTATTAGCGTCTTTCATATTTCTTTTTGAATTTAAAAATAACTTTTACATAAAAAGATTTATTGACTTATGGTGATGAGAAAATAAGCTTTTAAAAAAAATGTTTGAATTAGTTTTTATGATGGAAAAAGCCAATAAATTGTTTTTTATTTAAAAGTGCTTGTCTTACTTATATTTATTTTAAGAGGTAGTTGTCTTTTAAAATCCAAAAAATTATAAGAAGTTTTGAACAAATTTAAATCCTAACTTATTGAAATCTTCTTTTTGAAAGGTTGATGAAAAATTATTTTAAAAGTTTTTTTTTTTTTTTTGATAATGCAAATTTTCTTGGTGTTTTAGTTATTATCAATGATTTAGTATACTCATAGCTACAAGGGTCTTTGAGATTTCATTTTGAATTTCAAAAGAATTTTTTCAAAAAGATTTATCGATTTATGGTGATGAGTAAATTAGTTTTAAAAAAAAAATATTTAGATTAGATTTTGTGGTTGGAAAAATCAATAAACTGTTTTTTTTTAAATGTTTGTTTTATTTATACATGTTTTAATGTGTATCTGTCTTTTACAACCCAAACAATTATAATTTTTTTTTGAGAAATTCAAATCATAACTTATTGAAATCTTTTTTTGAAAGGTTGGTAAGAAGTTATTTTAAAAGAGCTTTTTTTTTCATAATATCAATTTTTTTCTTTTCTGATTTATTAACTTTTTCAAAAAATTAAATCAATAATTATTTTTAAATGAAATCCCAAAATAAAGCTCTCATACGGCTTCCTACGAATAAGATGGTCTTTAACGACAGCAAAATAAAATATTGATCTGTCAGTTAAATCATTTAAAAATCACCAATAACATATTCACGTCACATTTGAGTTGTTGTCTTTTTGAGATACTATTCCGGTGAATTGTTTTAGGTTCAAAACTCTTCAAATAATGGACAAAATTTTCTGGTTTGTCAATTTCTTTGGTAAGATCTAAAAAAAAAGTTTATTAGCAAAAAATGTCCATGTTTGGTGGTTTTGTTGTGGTTTTGATCTCTACCTCGTTAAGCTTAACAATTTGGTTGTTAAGTTTTTGAAAATGAGGCATATACCTCTAGGGACCATTTTTGCAGTTTTATCTTTTTATACAACTACAAGGACCATTTCTGTAATTTTTCTTTTTCATTTTATTGAATTATTGTACATTAGTTATTTTAATTTTTTTTTAGTTCTTCTATATTGGATTAATTCTTTTTCATTGGATTATTATATATTAATAAATATTAATTTTAGGGAAAACTACAAAAAAAAATCCTTACATATTGATATCATAATCGATTTAGTTCTTATATCATTTTTTTATTCAATTAAGTCCCAAAAATCAGTAATAGTATTCAATTTAATCCTTTTACCCGGTCAACAGGTCATCCAACTTTCAAAAATTACACTTTTGGCCCAGATTTCAAATTTTGTTACAAATTTGGTCAAAAATTTACATTTTTGGCCTAAATTTTAAATTTTACTACAAATTTGGTAAAAATTTTACCATTTTCGCATAGATTTCAGAATTTTATTATAAACACGTATTTTACAAAAAAAAAATGTATACAAGCGTCTATTTTATTATAATTACATTTTGTAAAAACATATTTATATGTACCAAAATAAGTGTTTGTATACATTGCTTTTGTAAAAACATATTTATATATTTTTTTATAAACACCTATTTTATAATAAACACATTTGTATTCAAACATGTTTATAAATTAAATGTATAAAAGCACGTATTTTATAAAAATATACTCAAACATGTTTTTATAAACGAATATATACAAATATGTTTTTAATAAAAATCAACATTTGAGAAGTTAATTATCGACAGTTAAATTATTCTTTTAAATGTATAATCTAAATAATAGTTATATAAGAATTAATACCATAAAATGTGCGTCTCCAAATTAAAAAACAAAATGTATTGTCATACAACTTTTTTTTTCAACCCACACAACATTAGGTGCCCAATCATATATGTTACCGAATTGAAATAATATGGAAATAAATTATTCGCATCAATCGCTTGACGCGGGTAAAAAGATAGTGTGTGTGTGTGTATATATATATATATATATATATATATATCTATATATATATATATATATATATATATATATATGTGTGTGTGTGTGTGTGTGTGTATGTATGTATGTATGTATGTGTATATATATATATATATATATATATATATATATACACACACACACACACGTTTACTATGAAATAGATGTTTGTATATATTTTTTTATAAATATGTGTTTGTATACAAATGTATTTATAATAAAATAGGTGTTTATATAGATTTTTTTTTGTAACATATGTGTTTGTATATATTTTTTTATAAAAACGATTTTTATATATTTATGTACTTAATAAATACATATTTTTTATAAATAGGTATTTCGTATACAAAAAAATTCTTAAAAAAAGTTTTTATATATAAAACATAAGATTTTTAATGTGAAAATATGTTTTTTTGTATAAATTTGATTTTTTAAAGAAAAACATATTCAAATTATTTTTTGAGAAAAAAAGTTGTAAAAAAACTAAAATTAGGATGAATTCATAACAAAATTCTGAAATCTAGGCCAAAATGGTAAATTTTGGACCAAATTTATAATAAATTTTATAATCTAGGCCAAAAGTGTGTATTTTGGATCAAATTTGTAATTTTTTTTGAAATCTAGGCCAAAAGAGTATGTATTGAAAGTTGGATGACCTGTTGACCGGATAAAAAAGTTTAATTGAATACGATTACCGGTTTTTTGGACTCAATTGAATAAAAAAAGATATAATCACTAAATCGATTATGAGATTAATATGTAAGGATTTTTTATCAGGTTTTCCTTAATTATATTATATTATATTTATATCTTAATAAATATTATTTTATTATATTTTAATTTTTTAAATTAATTTTTGTAATTTCTTCTTTATTGGATTAATTTTTTTTATTGTATTATTATATATTATTAAATATTTTTTTATTGGATTATTATATTATTAAATATTTTTTTTAACATATATTATTTTTTTATTAATTAATATTTCTTTATTATATTATTAACTCCTTATAATTGTTTTATTATTATTTTTTTATTTCGTTAATTTTTTTTATTGGATTATTATTTTTAACCTATTATTATTATATATAATAAATATCATTTTATTGGATTAATAATTTATAATGTATAATATATATATTTTTTAATTTTATTGGTGCCACCACAAAGTCGTTAGAATACACAAATGTGTCGCGTCCCATCGTCGAAAATCGGCGGGACAACCGCCAATCATGTTCATTGATTGTTCGACGAAAACCCCACCAACTTGTTACACCCAATGCCGCCAATAGTCACCTAGGACAACCTCATCACAATCAATCGGAATCCTCTATATATGTCACTAAGCCGACCATATTCTGCTACAACCACTAGGAGGTTAGATCGAAACACCTTTGGTGAACTCTTCCATTCATTGCCTTCTATCACCTTGCGTCGTCGTATCATCTCACTGGAAATCGCCGATCATCGCCTATATTAAGCCATTCTCGACGAAAACTACATCGGTCGACTACCCACACAATGCGCAACAAACCGCAGAAAACATACAACCTCTAGCCGACAATTCATTACCGATACCACCATCGATGACGACAATGTTAGATCGAGGGTTTTCAAACCACCATAGCCATTAATTAAGAAATGGTCCTTGTAGTTTGGTAAAAAGATAAAACTACAGAAATGGTCCCTGTGGGTAAATCCGTCATTTGCCAAAACTTAATAGTTAAGCTGTTAAAATTAACGAAATAGGGACTAAAACTACAACAAAACCACAAAATATGGACATTTGTTGCTAATAAACTTTTTTTTAACCTTACCAAAAAAAATTAACAAACCACAGAGATCATTTTTGCAATTTTGTCTCAAATAATGTATTGTTTTTCATTTATATACGATAAGCACAGTTATCGAACTCTTCAAATAATGTATTGTTTTTTCATTTATATTCTTATCGATCACACATAATTCATTTTGTACGTATTTTCGCTTTCATTAACTTTAGACTAAAAATATAATAGATCTACGCAGTTATCATAAGTATAATTCTTATTTTCTCAAATTCTGTGAATTAGATAAGTTTTAAGCACCATCATTATTGACTGCCATAATTTCTTCGGTTAATTTTAAACAGATTTTTTTTTTCTAGGACCATATAGTGTCTATTCGTAAACCTTGTTTGAATAGTTTCTGCTTCCAGCTTACAAGAAATAACCATATGTTTTTTATTATTTATTTATATATAATGCAAAATTATATTATAACCATAAATATAATTACTTGTTAATTAATTGTTTCTTTGATAAAGTCCGAAAACTTAACCCAGCATGCATAAGTAAACTAATTTGAGGGTTTCATTTGGTTGCTTTTGACTTGGCTTGTTTTTATCTTACAAGACTTGATCGACTTGTTATTACCAACACATTTTTTAAAACCTCATAAATTTTTTATTGTTATTAATTTGGAAATCGTCAAATCAAATGACCTATGATCATCTACCCTCTCCTGTTTGTGACAATGAGCTGGATCCCAGTATCCCACTTGTTCCCAGAACTCTGAAGGTTTCTCCTTCACCTTGCTTCCTTGAATTAACCTCCATAACGAGTTCGCTGACTTTTTAAAACCACGTATGGTTGACCTTTTTAAGATCACCCCTAACGGCTATAAATACCTTCCCTCCCTGCTATGTCATCATCACCTCATACACTAAAAACAGTATTCAACATCGCTCATACACAATTCTTTGACACATAAATAATATCCAGTAGTCTCATAGTAATGGAGGTTTCTTCTCTTAACAAAACACTAATCCTGCTGATTCTCCTGTTAGCCACCTTGGCGCGAGGCCAAGGCAATCGGGGTAGAGGCCAGGGCACCCGGGTTGGCTTCTACAGAGCCACCTGCCCAAGGGTCGAATCAATAGTCCAATCAGCGGTTCAGTCTGCTGTCCAATCCAACCCCACTATTGCACCTGGTTTACTTCGGATGTTCTTCCATGACTGCTTCGTCAACGGCTGTGATGCATCTATACTAATTGAAGGCCCGTCAACTGAAAAGGCTTCCGGACCCAACTCCCTGTTGAGAGGCTTTGAAGTTATTGATGCTGCAAAGGGCCAGCTCGAAACTGCATGCCCTGGTGTGGTCTCTTGTGCTGATATTGTTGCCCTAGCTGCCCGTGATTCTGTTGTACTGGTAATTAAATTTTACATTGATATCCGTCAAGGTGTTTGTTAAGAACTTATAGTTAAATGTCAAACTGTGTTCTTTATTAACCTTTTTTCAATATCTTGCAGACGGGTGGACGTAGGTGGCAGGTGCCATTAGGGCGCAGAGATGGATTGGTTTCGCAAGCATCGGATACTGCTAACTTGCCAGCGGCTACCGACCCTATTACTGTTCAAATTAGAAAGTTTGCTGATAAAGATCTTAATACCCAAGATCTTGTAACTCTTGTAGGTAAGTGCAGCAAAATAATGTACAATATATGTCTACTACACAATATGCAATCATGCATCCTATTAACTCACAAATCAATTAAAGATGCGTTTTTTTTTTAATCATCAGGAGGACACACAATTGGAACATCAGCTTGTCTGCTATTCAGCTATAGACTATACAACTTCAACAATACCAATGGACCCGACCCGGATATAAACCAAGCCTTCCTACCACAGCTCCGGGCCCTATGCCCCAATGGTGGCAATGCTTTTAGGCGTGTGGACTTGGATACCGGCAGTGTTAATAGCTTTGGCAATTCCTTCTACGAAAACTTGAGGAATGGACGGGGAGTTATTGAATCCGATGCAAAGCTATGGAGTGACAGGAGGACTCAGAGGTATGTACAAGGGTTCTTGGGTGTTAGAGGCCAACCTGGATCGCGATTCAACGCTGAGTTTGGAAGAGCAATGGTGAAGATGGGTAATACTGAGGTGAAAACTGGGAGACAAGGACAAATTCGTAGGGTTTGTACGGCCATCAATTAAGGATTGTGGGTTAAATAATTGATTTGATCATAAGTTGTTAATACAATCAATTATATATATATATATATATATATATATATATATATATATTAAAGTTATCGTTCCCCTTAGCTACAGTAAATTTGCTAAGGAATTGACATAAATGGTCCCCTGTTTATGTGACTCTCTCCATTTCCGTTTATTTTTTTCCCTTTGCAGTAGGTCAATTTGTGTCAATATCAATATTGTTGATGACCACGTGTTTCCTTCACCGTTTTCTGATCCAATCAGATTTAGATTTGTGTACATCGTCGCCGCCCCATCCTTCTCTCATCGACAATATTCCATTATACCACACACCCACCGCCTTCATCTCCATCTTTCAAGTTCTCTCTTCCGTTTCGTCTCCACCCAATCACCGCTCCCTCCACCGCAATCAGATTACCACCGCTCCGCCATCTGCTGCTTCTCCAGCCCTTCCCAGTGTCGCCCACCGCCATCGACTTCCAATAAACTATGACCGTTGTTCCTTATCACCGTCTCTCTTCCAGATTACTAGACCAACATCACTGTCTTTGTTCTTCACAGTTAAGACCCAAAACCCTCTCACCACCACCGCCCTATACGCTGCTGCTCACCACCACCGTATACAAACATGAGTTTAATCGATCGTCTCCACCCGGATTTCGATTTCGGAATTGGATATGTTATCCGAACTCTCCATCTTCCATTAAAGATGGGGTATCAAGTTTCCACCACTGCTCTTCCTTCTCATACCCTAACTCTCATCCGCTGCTTGTGGCTTACATGGTTTGGCTTCGCTTGAATACGACCAACAGGTTGGAGCCGATCACCGTTCTCATCTTCCAATGTTATCCACTCCACCACTTCTTTTTACCTCTACCTAACCCTTTCTATTCGTCTTTTCCTTACCCTTCTGTCTTCGTCTTTCTCTAAGAAAAAAACTCACCACCACCATCGCTGCTTTCGGCAATACTGACTCCGGTGAAACAAGCTTATGGGTTTCATAACTCGACGCCTTTGTCTCCGGTGGCGACTCGACGACTATGCTTCAAATCCGGCGCCTACCGGTTTTGTTTCTGTACATGCCATTAAACGAAGCCTCCGCCTGCGCTTCTATAAATTCCGATAATCGATATTTTTACGGGTAAAGTCAGGTACGTTGGTGGTGAATAGCGCATAAGGTGGTGTTTTATCTATTCAATTTCGATTCCCTTCTCTCTAAATTAACCACTAACTGAAGCTTAAAATACAAGAGCTCCTTCCACAGTCGATAGTTCTAATCCCAATTATCAGGTCAGAAGGTAATTCTCTACCTCTATTGTCGGCTTCTTTTTAGGAATCTCGGAATTTTACTATTTTTTATAATTTTCGTAGCTTGTGTGGCTGGGTTCAGTTCTCTGAATTGATGAGAGCCCATCACATGCTTCTCCTCATTCTGTTGTGGTCCTAGGAATGGATATCACAGCATGTGAAAAACAATTCCAGATTGGCAGCCCTGTCAATTGACACGATTGTTTGGATACTGATCAGGTTTGACTATCTTTGACGCTGCAACTGAAAAACACACTTCCAGTTACATGGAAAATCATCTTCGACCCTACATTTGATCATTGCAGCTTATTCAAGAAGGTCAAATACTGGACCAAGAATTAAACTTTGTTGGCACTGCATATGTTCCTGTTTATGTGATGGTCGGAGTAAGTGGTTTGTTATCTCTATTTCCACTCATTATTTGGCAAAAAGATCTCAATAAACACAAATTTAATAAATAGATCTTATATAACATAAGTTTTTATGCTGATTGATTACACTATCTGTTCCCTTCCGGTTGATATGCTCATATCATGTACTCATGAATTCCAGTTTAATTCTATTTGTTTTTCTCAGGTTCCATTCTGAACCCTTGGGTTAAGTGTCTTACTCTTTTTCAGCCAAGGAACCTAGGAATGGAATCACCAATTCCATGGATCAAGTGATGATGGGAGTGGACCTTGAAGAAGTGGACGAGCAACCATGAATCTTTACACCTACACCTATCTTGATGAGCAACCATGAATCAAATTACATACTATGTTCTGAAACATTTTTATTTTGGTAGTTTCTTTAATGATAGTTGTCTCATCTTTTTTCATTCCAGGAAATTTAGGTGGAGATCTGCATTATACAAGTGATAATGGTGTTGACGATTGCAGTTGCACCTGTTGTATCTCTTGCTTCATTCGTTACTCCTAAACCTTCTTTTTCGTCGTTGGTACGCCTAATAGTTTTTTTAGTAAAACCTAAAATTTAGTTTTCTAATCTAATTTAACAGCAATGAATGTATTGATCTATTTCTGGTGTTTGTTGGAGTTGGATTATTTATGTTTCATCAAATTAAATAAATTTTATAAATCAGAAAAAAAAATTCATAAGATACATTTGAATTTAAAATTTGGGTTGAAATCTTTGATTCGTTAATGAATTGTTTTAATGAATTGTTGTGAGGACTACACCCGACACCGGTTGTGGGGTACGTATGTTTTTATTTTCAATTCTTTCTGAATGTTTTTTGTTTGATTTAGGATTTTTGAAAATTGTGATTTTTTCTTTTTTGGCATTGTTTTTAGGTAGCAAGTTTTGGTCATTACCTATGGAAGAGAACGAGGTGGGTACTGGGTCCCGATGACATTTGGTAAAAAAAAACATTTTATTTTATTTATTAATTCTTGAATTCAACAAATATATATATATATATATATATATATATATATATATATATATATATATATATATATATATATATTATAGGTACAAGAAAATCGAATCGTGTGAGTCCTGGAAGTGGAGGTGATTAGGTTGTTTCTTGAACGACTTGGAAGGATTTGTAGTTGGAATTCATTCCTCCAAGTTGTGGCTTATGAATGTTGTTCCTACTTCTGCTGAGGCAAATACTCTTGGAGTTTATTTACGAGTGTGGCCTTATTGGCATATATCACAACTGGTATATAATATACGAATCTTTTAAAACTTGAAATTTATTAATTAAAATTTGATTATTAAATTAGAAAGGCATTAATTAATTAATAAAATAATATTGCAGGTGTGAGGTCTTTTCCATGAATGCAAAGAAGGTATAGTAAGCACATTGTTTGTATTTAGCTGTTCCATTCAGTTTGAGATTATAGACTTTGAAAAAAAAGATAATAAAATCTCATGATTTATGATCATGGGTTTTTGCATGAAAAGGGTTCTTAAATGTATTAAGGTTGTGAGCATGGGTTTTACTATCATTCACCCCCAACCACATGTCCAAGTGATGCTTCAACATCACTCCCTAAAGGAGGTGGTTCTACTACAATTGACTTAATTACCTCTAAACAAATGGCCAGTGAAGGTGTGTTAACTTTTTCGCCCTTGTGATGATGGCTGCCTTGGTGGTTTTCTGATATGTTTACGGTTGCTCATCTGCTCTTCATTCAACAGACGAGATCTACACATTTTTGTGTGGAATGAATCTTACAAGTGGAGAATTCAGTATCGTATGAATTTTTAGCGTTGGAGAAATTGATAGCTGCATGGGATGTCGGTCTTAGTCTTAGATAATGATGTGATTTAATTTCATTGTGGAAAGTTGAACAGGATGGGAAGATGGATGGGGCTGTTAACACCTGCTGTATAATCTCTTTCAGTTTAGCAATGTACATTCTTTATTATTATTTTTTTTATAGCATACTACAAAACTTTGATATCTTTTCTTATTAACACATTGTCCTGTGAAAATTCTATCCAATTATTGGATTGTATTTTCAAAATTTTCTTATTATAACATTTACACGTTTGTAAATGGAGAAATCTCCTACAATGGCAACGTATTTTATTGTGGCTAACAACTTAGGCAATGTACTTTACTTTGACGCAAAAGTAACACCTTCTGCCCCCTCGCAACGCGGGGGGAAACTTTCTAGTTTGAATTAAAAGGATTGAATTTTTTTATTTTTATTTGTTCAATATTGCGGAATAAGATAAAGGATTGAATTGTTTATCAATAATTTATTTATTACAGTTACACCCATGTATTACATGAGTTAATTAAAAAAAATTAAATATCAAAAAGGTAAACATTAAGTATTTTTTAAAATTCAATTTTAAAATAAGGAGGGAAAAACAGATTTATTGCAATTTATAATCATATTTATTACATTCAATACTTTACTTATATAACTATATGTATTATGTTGTTTTTTAATTTTAAAAATTAAAAAATTCTAGAAATTGACTTGTGGATATTATTTATTTGAAAAATATATCACAAAATAACAAGTGTTAAAACTTATGAGAGATTGACATGTGACAAAATAGATCTTCATTTATTATAGTAGATTTGATGATTTTTTTATCACCAGTAAAATTATTCAAAAATTTGGGAAAAGAAGCCTCTTGTTACGTCTAGGATGAGCATATGACCCGTTGGACCGGACCAAACCGGAAAAAACAGGGACAAGACCCGGACTGGATTGGATAATCATATTAGAGGACCGGTTTTCGGGTTTTGTTTTTACCACTAATCGGGTTTTGGATTTGGACCGGACTGTACCTGAAATACGAGATTTAACCCGGACCGGACCGGAAAACATTTTGACCTTAAAATCTTTTGTAGATATCAACATAAGTTTAAAAATATAAAATATATAGATAGTGGTATTAAATTATTTTAATTAATGTATTGGAGCTTTTATTGAATTATATATTAATGTTACACGAAAAAATAAAAAATATGAAAATAAAAGTTTATTGAATTATTAATTAATATATAGATAATGTCTAGAAATGACAACGAGACGGGTTCGGGGCGGGACATGGTTTCCCAAATCCGCCCCGATATCTTTCGAGTATCTTATCGGGGTGCCCCATTGAGTTTCGGGTTTTCCCGTCGGATTTCGGGTATCTTATCGGGTTCACAACAATTCATAACGAAATCTTTATTCCGTTTTAAGGTACCCCGATATCTTATAAAAAATACATGTTCTAG